ATTTAATATAATTAATCATTTCATCATTAATTGGACCAAAATAACCTTCTTTTCTCAAATGGGAAATTAGTTAAGCCAAGCCCATTGTTTAAAACTTCGCAAAATTCTGCAGTAGCTTTTGTTGGTGATAATAGTTTTAACTCTTCACAGAATATTAAGCTACAGCATATATATTTACTCAAAGTTTGTGCAGCTAAGTGCACATTCATCTCATTTTCATAATATTGTATGATTTTTTTTTAAATATATTATCTTTTTAATCTATTAAGTCTCTTGTAGTTCTTGTAATTTAACAATATGGTTCCATCTAATTATTTCCCCTTTACCATTTAGAAAAACTTGTTTCTCACTTAAGTATTGCGAACTAGTTTTAACATATGATCTGTATCCCGAAAGATATAAATTGGATTTCACTGTTCTGGTGTTGCTTGATTGTGATGAAGAGATGTAATCAAAGTTTGCACCCAATTAAATGTACGTTGATAAGTTGTTTGGAGCACCATCAAATGTGATTGAATGACATATTACATCTGTTAATTTCATTAATTCAAAACACTTGGTAAAAAGATAAGCTTTTTTACTTCCAAAAAAACAATGGATAAGAAAATAAATTGAAATTCAAAAGGCACTTTCCAACATCCAAGAAATCTATAGCATTTGTTGCTTCATGTCATTATCTTGATTATTATCTTTATTGATTACTACTTAGTATAGTAACTAAATCCACTTTTCCTTAGAATTAACCATTTAAATAAGAAATTTGTTTTCAAATTGTCATTTCAGTACAACAAATATTGCAATATTGTGTACAACTGGTTGAGATGATTGGATTACAAACGGCCGTATATTTTTAAGCTGCATTGGTAAACCCAGGCTCACTATTGACAACTGAATACCACAATTTCAGGATGAAGCAGTACATTTTTAAATGTTTTCCTTACAAACGTGTATGCTTTTGAGGAATAAGATTGCAAGTAACAGCAAAGCTTCACATAGCAGGTGAATACTTGGCATTTCAGGACCGTAATGCTCTATTTAACATATCCTTAGTTGACTGAGAAGTATTCGTCTATAAAAAAAATAATTGGAGTTTAGATTATTATTAAATAAAATTACATCAAAACACATTGTAACATTAAAAGTAACATAACTATTAAATTTTAACATGTCAATGTTTTTAATAATGTATATGTTACCAGCAAAGATGTAAATTAAGGAATTATTGTTGATGTCAAATCAATTATATTTCTAAACAAATTAGACAGTATACAATATTGACTAGGGAATTATGCTAATGTTCATTATTCTCAGGCAATGATGCATTTAGAAATATTTCTTAAGTAATGACGGTAATTCCGTACTTTTCAATCAGAAATGATTGATAAAAATTTTAAATCAATTTAAATTCAATTCAAACTGGTTGCTAAGTGAACTTTAATTGTAGGTACTTATTATAAGTTGTAAACAGTTATGTATAAGTATAAAAGTTTAAAAAAATATTATTTTAATATAATTTTTATAAATAAAATTATCAACATTGTCTATCAGTATTAGACATAATATCCTATATAGTTGTAAATATGTTAACAAAATATATGAATTTTACAACATTGTCTATGTTGTCAACCTAGGAATTTAAAATATCGATTACTAATGTTAGGAAATTATGATATTGGCTAGGCATTTATTTTACATTATTAACTAATTTACATCATTGACTGTGCTATATACATTTCAAACACCAATAAAAACCATGGTACCTGTAGTGTATTGAGGTTGGTAATATTGATTAACCTCAATAACAAATTGCACTTTATATATTAATTAACAAGAACACGTTTTTACAATATAATATGTCATGTGACAATTATTCTGAATTGTGATGTAGAAATTAAAAGATGTATAATGTTAAAATCTTGAGTATTATTTTATAACGATTAAATATTTCACCCTTTCTCATCGAACTTCTTAGAGACGTTACAGTACCAAACATTAATTTTTAATAAAAACACACAATTTACCAACTTTGTTAAATGTTTATACATATTAAAAGATTTTGTCTCGAATATATGTTTTACATTTTTACCGATTATTGTATAATGCATTTATGTTTTAGAAATACGGCTGTGCATATAATAATTACATACCTAATTATATAATAATTTGAATTTTTTATTTATAAGGGATATTCTTTCAAACAATTGTGAGATTTTTTTGATTTTTTTTATCGTTCTAATTTGGAATAATATGAAATTAAAAATGTATGATGCAGTCATAAAAAAAAGTAAAAATTTAAAAAATATAATTGGATCTTCAGAAACCTGAATACTTGTAGAGATGATAAAAAAATTACTAGAATACAGCATAAATAGTTACAACATATTTTATCTTATTAAATACACGAAAACCCACAATATATCCGTATATAATGATAACATTATGCTAACCAAAATTGTACCAAGGACTGCTTCACTGATCAAATTTTGTTTTTTTTCAGATGATGGAAAAAAGACGTTGAATTTGACTAACTTTTCTTCTGTTCCAAGACTTTAATGGCACGTCATAATGCTTTTTTTTGCCCGTTTAGGTGTACTGAAATCAAGAGTTTCTATGTCATCAATTAACAATGCCTCTTTTGACATTTTGGTGTTTCTTAAATAAAAAGTCAAATTTATAAAATAAATAAAAGAAAACTTGTGCCCATATTAATAACAGCAATACAAATAATTAATTGGTATACCTAGAATGTTCTCAACAGACACGTTCATCGCCACATTCGAACTAGACTCCTCACATTCAACTGCTAAAATAAAATAATTTTATATTAATCTATTGTTAACAAAATTTGAATTATTCTTAACTTTTCTTACCAAAATTGAATTTATAAATGTTTTTAAATTTTGTTGGAATGGCATTGTTTTTAAATATCGTTCCTGATTTAATGGTTTTATAAAAATGTTATGCTTAGATGCAGTGTCGTCGCAAGCTATTGTGAGGACCAAGGCAAAAGCAATATTATATTGACATATCATACATACTATATACATTTAATACAACCTAATATATTATGTTTAATTATTATTAACATTTCAATAACTAACTCGTGTAATATTAAGCATGGCACTTTGAATGTTGAGGACTTGCAAAAAAAACAAGATAGTTGATCCATGGATTAAAACGCCTTAGTCCGCTTGGCCACTCCATCCCCCCCATATTAAATTGATGCACTTCACTTGAACTTTAAATTTGAATTGAGAGTTAAAGAGAAAAATTGTTGAGGAGAATTAATAAAAGTGACTACTTTAGTCTCCAACTTGACGAAAGTACCTATATAACTAATAAATCTGTATTACTGTGTTATGTGAGATACGAATACTAAAATGTCATTTCCGAAGACATTTTGTTCGTAACTACTGTGGTACACACAACAGAAGAAATATTTTGTAAAATTAATGAATTTATTATAGCGAATGAAATTGAATGGACAAAATGTGAACGAGGAAGTACAGATGGTGCTCTCGCAATGTCAGGAAAAATGGTCAGGATTAGACACATCAATACATCATACCATCAGTCACATGGCATCATTGTTGCATGCATCGCTAAGAAATAGTTTCCAAGAAAATACCGATACAATAGAAAACAGTTTTGGAGGGAGGTGTAAACATTGTGAACTTTAAAAAGCAAAATCATTGAATTCAAGAATTTTTGAACAACTTTGAAAAGACATAGTTAGTGAACATTATCAACTTCTGTTGCACTTTGAAATTCGTTGGTTATCTCGAGGTAAAGTGCTCTTTTGTCTATTTAAATTGAAAGATGAGGTAAGATTATTTTTTATCGAACATATATAATTTTCATTGAGTGAATGAGTGAATGATTATTCTTGGTTGGCTACTTAAGCATACTTATCAAATATATTTACTCATTTAAATGTACTTAACTTTAGTCTTCAAGGAATACATGTTACAATTTTCAAAGTTGAAGATTGAAGCTATGATTAAAAAGTTGAAACTGTGGAGTCTTCGGCTGTCAAAGAAGAAGTACGATCCATTTCCAAATCTCAAAAATTTTATTCAACCAACTGAAGAATAATTGTCGGATAACGATTCTAAATATTTCATACAACATAGGTATGAGTGATACGCAACGTAGCTTCCTTGATTACTTTTCTATTCCAGATATAAGTAGAAATTGGATTTGACAACCTTTTCAAATTGATATTCATCAAATAAATGGACTCACATTATTAGAATAAGACAGCCTTGTAGAAATTTTAACAGATACTAGTTTAAAAATTCAATTCGATCAAAAGTCATTAGATAATTTTTGGTAGCATGTTTGAAAGGATTATCCAGAATTATCGAGTAAAGCTTTGAAAGTTTTAATTCCATTCCCCACAACTTATTTATGTAAAAAAGTCTTCTCTATCCTTGTTTATATTAAGAATAAGTTTCGAAACAGCTTTCAAGTATTTAGCCTGATATTCAAAAACTCGTAACTGAAATGTAACATCAACCATCGCATTAAGACTTAATAATTAAGTATATAAAAATTAAATTTATTAAAATAATATATATTACAATTTTTTTTAATTAAAATGTTTAATAATGTTAAAGTTTAAAATTAAAAATTAAGTTTAATAAAAATAATTATAAATGTGTATATTTTGTTATGGCTACTTCTATAATTTGTAATATAAAATAGTTATTATAATTTTGGTTATGATAACATGACATTTTATGTAAAAAGGTAAAAAAAAAAAAAATAAACAAAAAATAGGTAAGGGGTCCGCAATTTCTTATAATTTTTCATCGGGGGTCCATGTTCTACATACCGCTAGACTATACTATTGCGCTTGAGAGTTGCAATCTGCTACTAGTTTTATCTCTTATCAATGGACAATGATTGTGAACATGCTCGACGAGTGCGCAATAACACGTTACTTCTTGATATGTAATTGGTGATGGTGGTGGGGGTGGGTTACATCTTAGACCATATTATACAGATTTAAAAATTAAATTTACCAATATAGTACCATGAGCTTGTTCAGCTGGAAGATTTTTTTTCAAATTATTTGATGATTCAGCCTTAGACAGTCTTTTGAGGAGTCTGCTTACTTTCAAATTTAAAGATTTAATTGTTTTCTGTTGTTCAATTATTTTCCATCTAGCTTTAGTCAAATTATGTTGGTTTTCCCTCCAAGTGGCTAAGTCTGGCATAGTTTCATCACCTTCATAAAATATATGTGGCTTTTGTTCAGGAGTATCTAAAATCAAACCATATTAAATATTATAGAATGGTATGTGGTAGATAGTTATAAATAATAAACTAGTTTTGTGTTATTGGTTTTAATATTATAGAGTTCACCTAATATTAAACTTAAAGGTAAGAATATTATATAGATTCTAGAGCATCTCATGGGCTTTTATTGATATTTAGCTTTAAACTAGTATTAGTACTTAGTATATGAATACCTATATTACATAGTTATCTCACTTTAAAATTAAATATCAATAGAAACAAAGAAAAGCCTAGGTATGGATATATTTTTAGGTACCATTAACTTTGTTAATATGTTAATTTGTTTACTACCTACCATCAATTTCGGGAGTTTCAATTTCACAGTCTGAAAGGATTTCTAATTTCACAGTTGAAACAGGCTCCATTTTCACAGTTGAAACAGGCTCCAATTTCACAGCTGAAACAGGCTCCAATTTTACAGTTGAAACAGGCTCCAATTTCACAATTGAAACAGGCACCAATTTTACAGATGAAACAGGCTCCAATTTCCCAGTTGAAACAGGCTCCGATTTCACTGTTGAAACCGAGGTTGAAACAGTCTGTACGTCAATTTGGGAAGTGAGTAACTCAGCAGGCGCTTCACGAGAGAACATCTGAAGCATCTTACGAGTGCACCTATATTTATTAAATTTACTTTAAAATATTTACTGAAATATCAAAATATACTTTAACATACGTTGATTCAAAAAATTGTTTTGCATGTTTGTCAATCTTTGTAGGAACTGAATTTCGTTTTAAAATTTTAAGACTAGTCCCAGTTCTATAACAATCTTGTTCGAAATGTTCTGAACAAATTTTTCTAGAAGGCTTGTAATCTTCTTCAGACAAGCCACAAGCTGTAAGCCACAAATATCGCTTGGATTTATCCTTGGGGAACCTAAACATTCAATATAAATTTAAATTAAATTTTAAAAAACCAAATATACTATGAGCATTAATAATAACAATTTTAAGGTTACATTATGTTAAATAACCTTACAGTTAATAATGCAATTGGTATTTTAGAAAAAACTAATGACTTACGAGTGTAAAGAGATGCTTGGGTTTTTGTTTGGCGTTTTCAAACAAAATATACAAGAACTATAACTTCTTTTTGGTGCCATTGAGCCAAAAATAATTTTATAAATTAAAATAAAATAAAATGTCGAATTAACTAACGTCAATCCAAAGTGGTTGTTATTAAGTTGGAAAATTGGAACTCGAAGCTTCAAAACAAATGATCATTTATCCCATAAGGTAAGGTTATAAATTACAATATCTAACCAAACATTACGTTCATGTTTATCATGACAATTTAGATAGGTATCGTCACAGTATTTTGATAAGCATCCTCCGCTCTTTACTTCGCCTATATCGTAGTTCTCTACTTGGCTTTCAATCATAATATACAAACATACCACAGAACAAAATCGACCAATGAGAAATGGAGAACTACGACATTTGACGGAGGTGAAGGAAATGCGCATGCCGCATTGCCGCGTACTGCATACAACTAGTACAACACTGTGATGATACCTATCTAATTTGTCATGATATTTATTATAATATCATTATTTATTATATCGCTTGCGCATGCGCGGTAAAGGCTGCCACAACTTGTCGCTAACATGTACGTCAAAATATTGCGCCTGTGGCTATGATGTAAATATTCTAATATGAATTTATTGTGATCATACCATATTATTAACATTAATTAAACGATAATTTACGATGTTTTCGATGTTTTGACATTCGAATACTCGATCGTTTCATCGTTATCGCGGTAGTGTGGCCACCGCGGCGGCGGCACTTTCCGATTCCGAAGTCACGAACGCCACTGATTATCAGCTGCTGACCTCCTTCGTATCACACGCAGTGACTTTTCCCTTATCATGTGGATGTGATTTCCATATCGTAGGAAATCGTCCGATTGTTTAATAAATTTCATCATTGCGATCGCCGAGTTACGACTCTCCATCGACACTCGACTGGACGGCGTGTCGCGTGTAAACGACAGTCACTTTACGTAGTCGTCGCGTAATCCGTTTCTTTTTTTTTTTTATTCTTTTTATTTCATCAAATTATCTGTTTTGGTTATTATTTTTATTTATTTTTTCATTCTCAATACTTTCTAGTGTTTTTTTTGGGTCTACCTTGTGAATTCATTGTTTCCATGGCGTTCGTCCTGAAGAATCCACAAACCAAGAGGTACAGACACTTAAAATCGTTTTGGTTTTTCAGCTCACCGTCAACAGCAACAAATTGTTGTTCATGCTTAAATGTTTTTGTTATTATATTGTCCTCATTTCAAAAAAATATAATGTGTGTGGTTTTCTCATTTGCTATGAAGTCCATTCTACAACAATCATATTTTTGTATGAAGTATAGTGTGTTTACTAGTTGTAATTCCCAGTATCATGTAAATATTGCATTCTACCTACCTATACTATTTCACTTATATTGTTTCCATTTTTTAATTACATTATATATTTATATCATTCAATTACATTTTTCTTTTAAATTATGTAACATGTATGCAAAATATAAGCAGGTATATTGACACTGTTGTTTTCCTCTTACAATCACCCAAATTTACATTATAACGGTGTCAGAATTACAGTTTTGCCTTTTGAAAATTTTCATCACTTTTTAATTTAACCTAGACAATCTAACAAGTATCATTTAAATAATTTATTTTTAATATATAAAATATATTTTTAAAATGTCTTTTAATGAATTAGGTACCCTTTTCTACTAGAACATTAGGAACTAGTATAGTTTACCTAAATATTAGATAAAAGGTAACCTCGGGAATTTTATATCATATTTATTTAATATAAAATCAATTTATACATAATACCTACCTATCTCTACATATCTCTGTTAGGTTTCAGTGGTTGGTATTGAAAGTATTTGATTTTTAAAAATATTGTATTGTTTGATAATTTATATTGTACCTACCGATCTGTTAAAATATAAACAATGTTGCTAAATGACCTAATTTTTTTTTTTATTAGTATCCCTCAATAATAAATAATATACCTAGTAAAATATTATTATAAAATATTATTTAATTTTACATTACCTATATTTGAATACTATTTTTTTATTTTACAGCTTATTATCTTAATATTAAGAACTTAACAAAACAAACATTAAATGTTTAAGTGATAACACAATTATGAATATTGACGACATGATTGGCAACGACAAAATGCATTCTTTTTGTTTACCTGTTGAATCATGTGTGGTTTGTGGAGATCGAGCATCAGGTGTGTTATCTAATACATACACTTCAACAATAGTGTTTATAATAGGTAATATTTATATTTTGTGATAATAAAAATATGTATTTAAATGTTTAGGCCGACATTATGGAGCAATAAGTTGTGAAGGATGTAAAGGTTTCTTTAAAAGATCTATTCGTAAACAACTAGGTTATCAATGTCGAGGTACCAAAATGTGTGAAGTAACAAAAAATCATCGTAACCGTTGTCAATATTGTCGTCTTCAAAAGTGCCTGACCATGGGAATGAGAAGTGATTGTAAGAATAAATGTTTATTGTAGAGATTAAGAATAGGTACTCTTTTAAAAAAAGTTATTTTTCTATAAGATATTACTAAAGCTGTGTATATAAATTAAAATACAGTTTTTTTACTGTCATAAGTATGGAAATTCTGATTGAATAGCATAATATTCGATTTTTTTTCAAAAATTGAAAAATTATCAAAAATATTTTTTAGGAAAATAAGATTTTTAAATTTCTAAGATAGCCATTTTGTTGATCGTATTTTTTAAAACAGTTCAAAAAAAGAAATATTAAAATTTAATGAAAATTGCCCAATTTAGAGCTAATTATTATTTTTAATTTTAGCCTAAAAATCAGCATGATTGTAATAATTAACATGCAAATTGTATTTTGCATATGCCGTATGCATAGGTTACATAGGTAACTATTATTCTTTATTTTATAAATTCAAAATAATAATTAGCTCCAACTTGGACAATTTTCATTACATTTTAATATTTTTTTGTTTTTGAACTGTTTTAAAAAATACAATCAACAAAATGGCTATCTTGGAAATTTAAAAAACTTATTTGCCTAAAAAATAGTTTCGATCATTTTTGAATTTTTGAAAAAAAAAATCGAATATTATGCTATTCAATCAGAATTTCCGAACTCATGACTGTAAACAAAACTGCATTTTAATTTATTGATTTTCCACAGAGATACTAAGGGTGATACAGTACTTCTGGGACAAACTGTATATTATAATATATGTATATAATATGTACAGGCAATGTGGACCATAAACACAAACAATTAATTTATACTATTGATCATTCATTTTATTAAATTCTAACGTATTACGCATATTTAAAAAAAAATTATAATAATAATCATAATTATAATAGCATAATATCTAAAGAATAACAAAAAAAGTTAGGTAACTAATATTATTGTTATATTTTTATTTATAATTTTATTATTACATTTTTATTCGTTTAAGATTAAGTAGAATGGCACTTGGAATTGCATAGTTTGTCTTGTTTTCACTTGCATTTATTTGTTTTGTAAAGCTGCATACAAGTACACTGATCATTTCCATGTTTTAATTACCTTGTACATCTTTGGTCCATAGTCCGTACACATTTTTCTTTACTAATCGTAAATTGGTTTCTGCTGTAGAGTTGTTACAGTTCCTTTTATAATTTAGGAGAACAAGGATATGATCAGTGTACATGTACATGCAAGCAGCTTTGTAAAACAAACAAATTCAAGCTTAGAAAAGCGCTAAACGATTTATTTCAAATCTAATTTCAATCTCAATAGTGATAATCTACTATTGCTACTATATCTACTGTGCTGATAAATAGATAATAATAAAATTATAATTTATAATAAAAAAATAATTATGATATTAATTCACTTTTTTAGATAAAATTATAAATAAAAATTGCCTGGTATTCCACATTGCCGGAACATATATAATAAATTACAATTATTGCATAAAAATCCAGTCATATCCACTTAAAAATAACTATTTTAAATACTTGCAACATAAAATATAATTATATTGTGTATAACTTAAACCTGATTTGTGTCACACTAGTTATGGTTTCATATTAAAGTTTATCAATTATCAATATAGAGGAAACCCATAATGCTCTCAGCTTAGAAATATCTTGTAATAATGTACTGTATATTGAAACTAATGAAATTGGTATAATTTTAAAGATATAATTAATTTTGTTTTTATTAGCTGTGCAACATGAAAGGAAACCAGTTACAGATAGAATAGAATCTATCCATAATATGTCAACTAGCCCAGACAATAATAATATTCCTACATTTTCATATGGAAATAATTCATTTATTAAAACTGAAATGCCATTTATCAAAAGCGAAAATCATTTCATCAAAACAGAAATCCCATATGTAGGAAATCGTTCCGTATATAATGATCAAACAGCATTGAATTTACTCCAAACATCAAGTAATATACTATCTATTAATAAAGGCAGTTAATAATAGCTTAATATATTTATCAGTCTTATACTGAAGTTGATTTAACTGTTAAATTTCCCTTTTTAATAAAACTTTTTTTTCAGATGAAAATGATTCTTCTATTAGAAATCAGAATTATATGGATTATTATATGGCCGAAGACGAAGACTCATCAGTTAGCCATTCTCCAAATAATGAACAGGATATTAAACCATTTAATCAAGACAACAAAAGCCTATTAGTACTTACACTGGATTCTATGACAAATGCTACACAAGTAATATATATATAGCCACTTGCTATCAAATTGGTTGATAAAAGAATCAAATCAAATAATTATTATTTAATTTAATTATAATAATATTACTCTATTTAGCAGAACTCCAATGGTACTGATTCATCATATGAAGTTGAAGTGCAGAGTAACAATGTCTTAGATATTTCTGAAGATGTAATGCCATCTGTCAATGTTAATTTTCCATTTCAATCACCGAGTCCTAAATACGCATACTTAAATCTACATTTTATCTGTGAAAGTGCTTCAAGATTATTGTTTCTGTCTATAAATTGGGTTCAGAGTCTTCCAGTTTTTCAGCTTCTAACGTAAGACTCATTATTATTATTATTGTAAATAAAAATATACAATAATGTATTAATTAATTTAAATAAATGTTTTAGATTTGAAGTACAACTTAGTCTGCTAAAAAGTTCTTGGTCACAACTGTTTATTTTGGGTTTAACTCAATGCGCACAAGCATTATCATTGATACCAGTACTTAGTTCTATGATTACCCATTTACAAAATGATGAAATTCACAACTCACCCAACTCCAGTAAAGCTAAAGAGGTGAATGAATATATTTACTAATTTAAGTTGAACTTGGTTAAGAATCACAAATTAATCAAGTGATTTGCAGTTAATCTATGTCACTATTGTTACCATGGAAACTATTTTCATAGTTGCCTGCATTATAACATGACAAAATAGATAGGTGCACAGCCATTATAATCCTCCATACCTGTCCAATGCTATACTTTTTCAAATTGATTAGCCCATTTTTTTCCTACAAACTAATAATAACAGTCTTGTCTGTAGTCAAGCCGTTTGATATTGATATTTTCGTATTTAATGTTATTTTATCATCCTATAATAAGTGTAATGAATGAGTTTGTCATTGTTATACTAGTGTGATTGCATTTTGTCATTATTTTAAAATTAATATTAAAATAGGTGTTCGCTATTCGAAGATTTTCCAATTTAAAAGTAGGGACAATAAAAAAGTCCGCTACTAAAGTGTCCGTTAAAAGAGGTTTCAATATATTAAAACGATATATAAACATATTTTTTCCACCATAGAATCCAAAATAAATAATATTTTCAAATAAATTAATAAATTAACTCTACTCAGTTGTGCCCAACCAAAATTTACTTGGAGAGGCGATAGAATCCAAAACCTACCTATCCACACAAAAAGTTAAAACAGTAAGTTAACCTATCTATTGTGTTGAACTGCCTGTTTAAACAATACAATAATAATAATTACTATACTCGTGCCTGCGAGAGAACGCTTCTCGTTCGCGCATCCGAATGACGAAGCTCCGTGGTTTTGTACCCAAATTTCTCCCACTCTACCACCTAGCCGTAAATTCCCCCAATCACTACGCGTGATCAGGTGGAAGTGGTGGCAGCAGTCAGAGTTGACGGGAAGGTTTAGTGGTGGGAATGCGAGTGATTGGACAAATTTTGGTCGCTGCCCAGAATCGTTCTCTTGCCGGCATGAGTATATCAGTACATAATTAATTTTTCTAGTTAATAGGTTCCTAATAGAAAAGTATAGTAGCTTATAATTAATCTAAATCAAGCAAACCTAAACTCAATAAGACCCATTTTGGAATATTAAAGTTTTACTAATATACTATTGAAATTTGTATTTCATTGTTGATAGCTATCTTTTTTTATCTATATATACTTTTTATATATTTTTTATTTTATATAAATTTTAATATTTGAAATAATTGTAATTATTTATTAGTAGTTATTTTCAGAAAATAAATATAGGTTATTATATGATGTTAGTACTACAAAATTATCAACAATTTCTAAAATTGTTTTAAAAACTCCACTCAGACAATTTAAATATTTTTTGGTAAAATTAAAAAAAACTATTGCACTTTAAAATGTAATCCCAAGTAAATTATCAATACCACAGTAAAATATTAAGTTTATAAAACTCATTGAACAATGATAATATACCTTTGAATAAAACATAATTTTAAATTTATTTAAAAAAGAAAAACTAAGAGGAATAATTTTACAATTACATCTTTTATAATAAAATTAAGTACTAACATATTAAAAAAAATTAAAAGCATAACTTTTTTAGTTATATTTAAAAAAATACTAATGTACATGTGTTTTAGCTCATTGATTACCTCAATAGAATACAAGATTATATTACAGAAATGGAAAATATTGAAGTGAATGATGTTGAATATGCATATTTGAAATTAATATCCTTATTTAACACTGGTAAATTCTAAATATTGGATTCTAAATAAATAATCTGAAATGAAAATATTGTGGATAATATTTGACACCCATATTTTGTTTACAGATAATCCTTCTGAAAGACAACAGTTATACAAACTACAAGAAAAAGCTGTCAAAGAATTGAAACAGCATTTAATCAAAGAATGCAATGATGAACACCGTATAGCCATATTATTGTTACGACTTCCAACTTTACGATCATTACAACCTAATATCATAGAAGAAATATTCTTTTCTAGTTTGTTGGGTAGTTTTCAAATTGATGCAGTTATACCTCAAATTTTAAAACTAAAATGTTCTAGTACAGGTAAATAATCATATATGAACCTATAATTTATTGAATTTGTTATATAATTTAAGTTTTTTTTTTTCAGAGTATGAAGATTTTGTTTCAAAAAACTTTGTATCATAATAATTATGATTAGTGATATTTATGGTTTGTATTCCCATTATAATCTTCTTGTATTTAAATTTTAGTTTTATTTAGGCTTGAAAAATATAAATATTTTAGTTTTTCTAAATACTTCAATAGTTCTATATATGGATCAGTGGTACGAAACCAGACATTTGATAAAAACATAAGGTATTTAAATATTGTTTGATATCTAAAAAATAGTGTTTCAGATATGTAAACAACTCTCCAACTCACTAGTTGCTATGAATATTAATTGTAATTATAATAAGTTTTAAAATAAAACATAAAAAATAGTTGAAAGGATATCTTACAAACAGACAAAACAGTCAATTTGCGTTCATAGTTCCAATTTTGTGTTGTTAGCTTTAATATTTGAGTGAATAAAACTATTTTAAAACTTAATTGTAAGAACAGCATTTGGTTGTCTGTGTAATCTGAATATCAGTGTTTACTCAATAGATTTTTACATTATTTTAATTTAAAGAAAACTATGTGTATTAAATGATAAAATAAATATTTTACATACACATAAATCTCATAAAAATTATCAAAAAAAAAAAAAAAAACTTTATAGCCAGATATTGTTCTTATAAGCTAAAACCACAAAATCGTATCTGCTGAAATCAATCTTGTTATGTTGTGCATTTGTGAATTAAAAAAAAAACACATGGATATCGTGTCCTTTTAAAATCAAAAATAATAATCATAGCCCTATTTCACATTACGACAATAACTTTATATTTGTTTGAGAAATTTTTGTTGTGATAGTTATGTATAGTTTATGAAGCGTAATTATTAGGTCTTAGTAGACATCACGATTACAGATATCTTTAATTATGGTAGACATGGTGTGTCATGTTGGTAAATATTTATGGATATTCACTCATCATAAAACCAGGAATGGTGAGGAGGCAGCTGGACACCATTTCTAGTTGTCAATAATTGGTGTGTTTTGCTGTAATAACTTCAAAATAATTCTCGCAAAATCCAAGTTTCTGATTGCGTCATGGTTGTCAGTGAGTAATTATGCATAATATTTTCTTTTAATTAATTTGAATTTTGGGAGGGAGTAAACAGAATTTTCGTTTTAATTTAATGTTTCTGTTCTTAAATAAGTTTTAATAAAATATCAATATTTATTTTATTTATATTATATAAAATAATGCCGGGATGATTAAAAGTAAAGAAATAACTAGTTTAATTTTAAAATAGACCTACAAATAATGTACAGGCATGTGCAAAAGTATAATTGATAATCTATTAATTAAATGATAATCAGTAAAATAGAGTAGTAAGAGTAGTGGTATATCATGTCTACTAGTATATTCATTTAAATAAAAATATATTATAAACCTCCTTTTCATAATTTAATTGTAATTTATAATTTTATGTAACCAGTCTTCCAAAAAGTTGGTGATTGATTAATTCCAAATATGTATTTATTTTGGATATTGTTATAAACATTTTTTTAATCTTGTGAACTTAATATATTTTGTTTCTTAATTAAATGTAGCTATGTAAATAAATATTAAATATTATAATTAATGTCTTTAAAGAGTCAAATTTTTTATACTTTAAGTTGCTATTCTGATTATACTTACAATAGTTGTTTTATTTTTTAAATCACAATAATGCTTAAAAATAAATATTATAGAAACTTGTTTATCCAGATATACTAGATATACCAATAAAATTATACCAAAGAGGGTTAACGGTATTGAAATATGAAGCTGGTATTATTATATTGGAAACAGTACCGGAAGTACTAACATGCATGTGTATTAAGTATTAACACATTTTTATCATTACATACGTAAAATAAAATTACTAATTAGGCTGTCTGGATACATACAAGTTTCTGTATTATAATATTATAATTAGTGCTTGGATTAAAATGCATTAAAAATATCAATAAAATACATTTATGAACTAAAAACTGCCCTGAAAATATGAAAAATTGCATTTAACATGTAAAATTAAGTAAAAACATTTATAAATATACAAAAATAGTATAAAATTAAATTTGATAAACAAAATATTATTTTGTATTACACTGTACTATGAGAATTAAATTTTACTCGAAGTTTACCTGATTTTATATAGATTAAAATGAAAATGATTTATATTACGTAGTACTATGTTTATATTTCAATGAAATCCATTTTTAGTCATATGAAAAATAGGTTAAAAATGTCTTAAAAAAAATTAAAAAATGCAAAAAAATTTTGTGTTTACAACATGTAGTACTCGAAACACATTGAAGATGTAAGACATTTCAAAAAGAATGCATTGAAATTTGAGCCCTAATTATAATAGTTTTAAAAAAAATTAATTTTGTTGAAAACTAATATGTTTGTTTGAAAGTTCTAGGTTTGTAATAAAAATAACAAAGCTATTATACTTTTGTTTTTTATATCTTATGTATTTATCAAATATTTTGATATATCACATATCATTAAGAAATAAAAATAAACATTTCTCTCAAAATTATTTTAATTTACTAAATTATATTTAAAAATTGATTTTCTGTTTTTGGTTGGGCTTCCACTAGAATTAATATTTGACTTATACATAATTCTACTGATTATTATAGTAACTTAATATTTTAAAGAACTGCATACTAAAATTATTAATCTTTTTTTATTTTTAAACAAATATATTGGTTATGTAATTTTTTTTAGCCTATTTAAAAAAAGTAATTATTGATTTCTTTACAATAATTATATTTTTTCTATTAATCATATTGCCAATTTTTTAATTATTCTTAACTTATTTTTGTATTTAATTAATAGAACAACTTTTTACTTATATTGTATGGCAATTTTGTTATTCTCTAGAAGTGAGTAGATTATTAGTATAAATATCATACATTTATATGTATAATGCATTTTTAAGACTTCATAATGTCTTATTATAATTTAGTCTTTTTTAAAGACATTTTTTCACTTATCCTAGATTCGTTAGAATTTCCTATTGTATAATTATTATACTATAATAAATTAATACTATACATTGATACATAATATATAATATATATCGTATATGCTTAACTAATTGTACCTAACAGTTTCGTTAACTTGTATGTATACAATTTGGCATGGGGTTTTGCAATAATATTCATTTAATTATTCTGAGAATATAAAAATAATTATGCTTATAATTATTTATAAATTATAAGTAATTTACATATTACACTTTTTTTTTACAGGGTAAAATACTTTTATAAGGCCCTATAGGTAAATCAGTTTACTTTTAAATTACCTCAGGGTTAGTAATCGAGACAATAAACATAAAACTTATGTGTTGATATAATTTATTAGATATTCAGTTTTAGTATTTTTTGTTATTAATATATTATTGTATAACAAACTATACATTTTTATTTAAAAATATTTAATTGTTTTTTGTTTGTAATTTTAATCGTAAGCTTAAGTACTGTAAGTTAACTATGTTTTAACTTAAGTACCTACTTATAGTGATAATCAATAACATTTGACAATAAAATGCTGTGTTTTAAAATAGGTAATTAAAATTTAATGATAACCATTGTATTATATTTTTGCTCTACTATTCTTTAAAATTTAAATAACCTCTTAAATATATTATCAAATTGTAATAATTATATAAGATGCTGTACATAGTTATTAATGAGTGCATAGCACACAAAGCTATGTTAAAAATATGTTTTAAACGGAGACGGTACGCAATACGAACATGTTTACATTTCAGGAATGTCGTTATATTACATCTTTGAAATTGCTTTGTTCGTTCACTACTAATGTGATATATTACAATATTATATAAGACAAAATAAGTTTGGCCAGAATCTTGTGAATATTATGTTATTTTTCTTTTGTCCTAAATATAGTGTAGAATCAGTGGCAAAGATAATATTTTTTTTTCTAGTAGTGATTATTGATTATGACAATACCTAGTACCTATATAATATATAATTATAAAATTAAAATTATTCCTCCAGTATCTAATTATATTTTACTTTAATAAATAAATTAAGTAGTAGCATAAATATTATTTTACTTATGCTATTTGCTTTTCCCAGTGGAAGGAATCAACTATAACATACTTATCAATCCTATCATATAAACTTATACTAATCTTTGTTGCTGATTTTTCTATAATGATATTCTAAAATTGTAATTTGTTACAAGAAATGAATGTGGGAAATACAGTGATTATATAACATTCATTATAATAGTATAATATATTATTTTTATTATTATTTGTTATAGTTTGTTTTGTTTTATTTTGAATGAAATAATTATTGTTGATTGTTACCATTAAGGTTTAATTTATACTTTGCAAAATTCAATCAATGTTGTACTAACTTCAAATTTGCTCTATATTAGATAAGTAGTTTTTTTTGTATAAACCCTATTATGTTTTATGTACCTTTACTACAGTTTTAGTCAAATAAATAAAGTTACAACTGTATAATTGTTTATTAAATTTTTGCTTCTCTTAAAAACCAAAAAAAAACCAATCTCATTCCAAACCAAAAACATGATTTTTTTTATTATTATCAAAACAATCTTATTTAAACATATTTAAAAGTTGACTAAAATACCACTATAGGTGTGCGCAGTGGCATAACTAGCAGGTAAGTTGGTAAAGTGAAACTTTGGGGCTCCCTAATAATACAAGTGGCTGCTCTATGGAGCGTGGAAAAACAATAGAAATCGGCTTTTGGTTAATTAATTACATTTTGGAATTATTATTATTACCTATATTTTATTGTGGATGTCTTACTGAATTCAACATGTGTCGGATTCCATGTTGTACACAGAATTCCTCGAACGCTCTTGAAGTGAACGCTGCCCCTCGGTCAATATTATGATTCGTTTTGGTATCCCGTAAGATATTACCTTTCCACCGAGGATATTATATCATTGAATTAAACTTTAACACCATCCATTACAGTGACCCACTTGTAAGTTGTAACCTACTGTACAGCAGAGCGAAATCTACTTATCCACTTT